AGGGTTAATTTTTGTTGTACCAAGAGAGCCATAACCCAATTTAAGATTAACCTCATGAATCTCTCGTTTTATTTTTCGCCGTGAAGATATTTTTCTTCCTTAATATAGCACCTACCACGGCTTTAACCAGCGTTGTGATTACTACGACTTTCGATGTTCCACTACTTTGAGATCAAGAACACAGCGTGGGCAGAGTTGGTGTGAACCTGTTTCGGTTCACACCAACTCTGTTAGTGGCCGACAACCAGTTTGGAGCAGCGTCAGAATTGACCAGAACAGAGATAGCCCTGTTTTAAAAACGTCATCATAAGATCCTGATACCACTGGATCTGGGGGCAGCAAAAGGCGTTCGACAGAGTTTGGCATGCTAGTTTTCTCGACAAGCTCAAGGGCTACAGGTACCCGTGGACGAATACTTGGCCTAATCCAATCGTTTCTAATAATATATATATATGTCGTAACCAAACACTCCTCTCTAAATATTTTTGGTATTTAAAAGAAACAAATAAAGCCCCCCACACTAAAATGGAAATTAATAAAAAACTGAGAATTTGTAGCTCCATTAAATATCCCATCTCCTCTATGCCTACATTAAAAAAGCTATATATATTATTAAGTTTCTTAAAAATAAAGATTTATTAAATCAACGACACGGACTAACCGTTTCTGTAGGCATTGTACCATGTTCACATTAAAACATAATTAATAGGATTTTTCCTTAAAAATCTGTACATTATAATTATATATCTATTATTTGATTACCTATAATGACACATAATATTTACTTAATTCCTTGATTTTTAATTTTAGCATTGCCATGTCTAATGTACCATTGAATATAATAAGTATTGCATTTTAGATTATAATAATTAAATATATAAAATGATTTAATCATCCTTGAGGTCGCTTTAAGACAGTATAAGAAAATAATTTATAAAAATATGCCAAAATTATTGTCCGTTACATATACCTCTCTGTATTATTTCAATGTATCTCATGATTATGTTCTTAACAGGAATCAATGGTAACAATACATGTCTAATACAAGACGGCTCATCTAGACAAGCATGAATTACATACCCACAATTAACCTCTAACCTACAATGTTTCATTTTTCTACGTTAATAAGACAACACCAATAAAAATAATTTTAAAAACTTATTCCTCCTGCTAATTAAACTCTTCAATATAATACTACTTCGATTTCAAAAGTAAATCATTTTTTAAAAATTTATTAAATATCTCTTGAAAATGGAACAATAATTCTAGTTGTGAAACACTGAAATTTCTGTGTCGCGATGAAAAATATTTTAAAATAATAATATTATAATATTATGCTCTACTATATATCGAGCACTTTAAAAAAAATAAATGCTAAAGAACTGTGGATCATTAATCTGACTGCTCTTTATATATATATATATATATATATATATATGTTGTGGATTCCGAGATGAAATTCGGTCTCCAATGAATGACAAACGCAAGAATTAAAGATAAGAAATAAAATGTATTTACACAATAATACAAAGGGTAATACTGTTAGTAAATCCAGGGACGCGGTTAGTAGCAATAATATATAGATATATACAGTCTCGAAGTAGGACTTCCTTATAGTCTACGTGCTGGTAACTGACTTCTACAAGTGGTTACCTCACACTATTACTCGACCTCCAACTCAATCACAATCGCAGTCTTCTTACTCTCTGACTACTCACTCTCACTGACTTTATAACTCTGGGTATTTAACGGCAGCAGTCCAAGTAACACTGGTAGAGTCCACTTATATGAAAAAGGGAGGACCCCATAACAATATATATATATATTTCAATAACAATGTACGGTTATTTTTCATATTGATCACTGAATATTTTAAGAAAGCAAACGATATAAACTCAACCATTTTCAGTTTTAAGTTTTCCATCAAAATGCTTGTCTCGTGTGTACAGAGATGGAATTAAAATAAATAATAGTGTTGTATATTTATTTCCATTGGAGGCGATAATAACATTCATATTTGAACATTTCTCGGCATCAGATGTACAATTTCTCTTTGTCTAACATTGTAGAATGGCCGCTTTGTAAATGGATTGATGTCAATACGAAAATGGAGTATAGATTTAGGATAAAATAAAGGATGTTATTGATTCGTTTGCTGATCGATTATTCTTCGATTTAGTTCCTGTATTTTGTTGGTGATGCTTAACACCAACAGTTTTAGAAATAAAAACGAATTTTCACTTAATCCTTAAAGGCTCATTTCTAAAACTAAATAAAATGCTTAACAAAATATTAATAAAGATCGTTAACGCCTAACAAAACACGTCGAACAGTAAATTACTAGAGGAAAGCGCATCGAATATGAAAAGATCTTTTCAAATAAGGTGGTTAATATTTTAAAAAATAGAGCCACAATAATGAATAGAAAAGTAGATGTTTAAATGACTTATCTTCTGACTTGAAGTTTCACAAAACACAGATACACTATGGTATCATGGTAAATAAATCTGACATATTTATCTTACACTTACGAGCGGATTTGTGTCTTTATGAAACTTCAAGTCAAGGGAATTGAACTCTTATTTATTAATTCATTAAAAATACTTAAGATGTTGTCTTATAAAAATACATTTTACAAATCGAAGATAATGATTTTTAATTTTTTTCATGTATAAAAGACTAAAATGAATAGATATGAATTGATTGTGACAGTTAAAGATTCGGTTGCACGAATACAGCTACTCTATCGCTGTTTCTATCACAAAGGTCCAGATGTTCTAAAATCTTTAGCTCCAATTGTTCACACCTTTACAACTAGGGCCCTCTATGCTACTACCATGGAGTCGAATTACTCTCATTTCCTCCATGATTTCAATCTAAGAAAAGTCCCACTCAGACAAGTCTTTGCCAGCAACAGTCATTTTGTAGAATAGGCACCTTTGTGTTTATTTCTCTGAACTTTATAATATTAAGTTCATCAAGTCAAAGGTCAATTGTTATCTATTCCCCATATCTCCTCATCAACTTTTTTTTTACATCTCACATCTCATTTTTTATTGCCATTACAACTGTAACCTTGAGTATTGCATACGTTGAAAATTAGTTACAAAAACTGTATTTTGTATCAATTTTATGCAATTTACGGATCTTTTTTGGAAATACAAAATTTTCAAGAAGAGAAGACTAAACTGAGAAAAAAATGACAAAGTTTTGTTTCCTTTTTCTCTGTGATTAAAAAATCAATTAATCCTGTTACAAAAATCCTAACCCCCAGCACCTAACCATAATCCTCCAAAATACTAAGAAATTGTTCCGTATTTAATCTGAATTAAATGCTTACTGTTTTGATAACAATCAGTGTTACACAATCTTCCGTGAAACAAAATCGAAAAATAAAGCCATATCATGTTATGTACGCTGTTTTGCACGGGTTAAACAAACAACTAAAATAATGATCATAGTAAAAGCCGACTGCTCGAAGATCCTAATTTTATGGCGGGAAAAACATTCGAATACCGAACGAAAACACACACACACACACACATACACACACACACATATATATATATAAATAAATAAATAAAATATCAAAGTTAAATCTCCGTCTCATTAAATAGCTTAAGCGTGGGTGGAATAAATGTTTTAGATCAATTATCGAAATGTTCACAAAATCAGCATTTTAAATTCTCCTATTTTATCTAGGCTCGAACACTGACCACCTGAAATATATAACCGATACAACCATTGAACAGGTATGAGATGTTTACTAAGCTTAATTTATTCAAGTTTATATTGCAAAGACGATGCTGAAGCAGTAGGAATTAGTGATTATTTTGTATAATTTCTCTTCAAGAAACTCTCTCTCCGATAGATTTTAATATTTTCAAAAATCTACAACACTTCCTCGTTCTTTTCCCTAATTCTAATCAACTTGAAGGAAGTTGCAATGAATTTATCGGTTATTTCAATGAATAATTAATTAGAGGAGGAATTGGCATCAAGGTAAATTAAATTTAGAGTTCGAAAGTAGACGCTATCTCCACTTACGGTACATTACTCAACTGACAATTTGTTTACAATTTTCAGTCATTTCCAAGGCAGCTGTTGAGGGATGTGTTTTTCTTGAGTCACCATCTCTAGTTCAGTTTCTAGCCAAGAATCCAACCTATTTAATCCATAGCTAATGGCGAAGAAAGATGGGATTATAACTTTTCCGATGGTATTTGTGCAAAAATAAAAGTAACGGAATTGACCGGAATTCAAGCCAGGTTGCTGATTTATCTTTCGGTGTCACTAACATTTACACTACCTGTATATCCTGTAAAAGTAGATGTTTTGATTGAATTTTATGAATTTTTAATTTACACTTTCGTAAAATTTCAGTGATTTAGTTGTTGAAAAATCGTCTTGGAATTATTTGTCTGCAATTTAGAATTTTGAAATATTTATTTCAGTTTTGTATAAAAGAGTTTTTGTAAAAAAGTGAGTTTAATTTCATCCAAGTGTGGGATAGTCATTTAGAAAATATCGAACGCACTGCAATAGCAATAATCTTTGAGATTTGTTTGCTCGATATTGTTTCATCGTAAGACGCCAATCTCTTTTCTCTCAGCTGATATTTCAGGGCCCGAAAATTTGTGGGAAATTCTGGAGTGGCCTCCGTCTTCTTTGAAGTGATCACTCTTGTCTAATATATACATTTTCTTTATTATTTTGCGAGAAAAAATCATGAGAGACTTTGAGGTCGGCTGCGTGCTTTTACCAGTGCGGCAAGAATTTGAGGGTTTTTTTCTTTTTTTTTTGTTGCCGATAATTGACTTGGAATGAGAAGCAATTGAAAAACAATCATACAAAAGAAATACAAATGGACGTAACAAAATCGAGTTCTCGTTCTTTCTTTCTTTCTTTCTTTCGTTCTTTGTTTTTCTTTCTTTCTATAATTGTTTTGCTTTGTTTCTTTATTGTTTCTTTTTTTATCCGTTTCTTTATTGTCTTTTCTTATGTATTTTTACTTTCTTGCTCTTCTTTTTTGTTTTCTTTCATCCACTTTTTCTTTCTTTAATCTTCTCTCGTTGTTCTTGTTTCTTTCCCGCTTTCTTGCGTTATACACAATTTTTATCACATTTTCTTTGTTTCTACATATTTTTCTTTTGTCCGATGTTTTCATTGTTTTGTTGATTTTTCTCTATATATTTTACTTTTGCTTATTTAATCACGTTTTCTTTTATTTTCTGTTTCCTTCTTTTTTTATATGTTGTCGGTTTTGCTTTCTTCCATTTTTCTTCCTTTTTTTGCTTTTTTCCCCTTTCTATGTTTATTATTCTCTTTCATTTATTCTTTTTCTTCGTTTTCATTCCTTCTTGCTTCTTTCTTGTTATTTCTATACATTTTATTTTCTAGTTTTTTGCGTCTTTGCTTTCTTTTTTCATGATGTTTTTGTTTCTTTTTTTCCATGTTTTTTGTCGTATATACATTCATTCAGGCTTTCTTACACGCTTTTCTTTGTTTTTTTTTACATTTCTATTTGTTTTCTTTTCATAACTTTCTTTCTTTCTGTTGTGGTGTCCTCCCTCTTAAGAGTCTATGTTAGACTCTTCTGCCTACTATAAGTTTAGCAAGAAAGAAGGTTCAGGAACAAGGAACAGGGATTGGATTGAGTGCTAGTTCATTCGCTACACTCTTACTAGTCGTGTAACACTCTTCTGTTGTACTTAAGCATTTACTTAGGCGCAACACTTTCTTTCCTTCTTTCTTTTTTTACTTTCGATGTTTCTTGCCTTTCTGTCTTTCATCTGCAGATTTATCATCTGACAATATTTCCGTTTATTCTTTACACATTCATAATTTTCGCCTTTCACTTTAAATCTTTTCAATTTAGCATTATTATATGTGAAGGAGAGAGAAGAAAGGCATAGACAAATATTTGGTTGGATATCAAGAGACAATGAACAAATGATTGAAAAAACAATTAGGGATAAAATGTGTAAAAACGTGTTACATTCATTACGGAGAAAGAACAAAAGAAAGATGTAAGAGAGGCTGCAGTAGAAAATGTTTAGGCATTCATTATTATTTATTTATTTTGCAAATTCTATATTTGTATAACATCTAAAAATATTTACTGACAATGTTGATTAGGCGAGATAAGGATGTGAATGAGAAGATACAGACAAGATATATATACTTTATTGGTTGAAAAATATTATTGTATTGTCAACAAGAGGAAATTCTGTAAAAATATTTAGGATTATCTACAAATAAGTAAAATTGTTTTATCTGGGTTTAAACTATGATTGACTTTGTGATTAGTTGTGTGATTTTTGTCAGTTAAGCAAGTATTTTAGTTTTCTTTCTGAAAATTGATTCAGAATATGAAGCAGTTGAAAAACAATCATGCAAAGTAAACGTAAATAGACGGAACAAAATCGACTTTTATTTTTTTTCTTTGTGACCAATAGTAGAAACATGGCTGTCTCGACTATCAAACTGTAAATATGTTCCTTCACTATCCATTTTACATTCTGTATCATTTATTACTCGCCTACACAGTTCGTTTACTACACACCGTTGTTGCATTTTGACGCCATGGTTGGTACCGATACTTCAAATCAAGCGAACAGAAAATGGTAACCATAAGAGCAAGTGAGGTAAAATCATATTAGAAGCGAAATTATGAACTTAACTATGAACACCAGAGCCCGGAGGCGTTGAGTCCTCCTTGTGAGAAGTTTAATAAACCGACAGTGTTCTGCTTCGTGCCAGTGTATCATGGATTCTATCTACGTTTCCAGTGAATAATTTATTTTCACTTATGTATAATATATTTCCTTTGAAAACAGAAAGCATTGGGTAATTTTACACACACTTATATTATAAAAGTAAAACGTTATTTGACTCCAAATCGGGTATTTGTGAATCTCAGAAATACCAAGTAGTGCATCTATGATAGGTTCATCTGAATATATAGATTGACAGGCAGATAGGATCAGACAAATAGAAATATACTGAGAGATAGATAAACAGATAGATAACATCAATGATATACGAAAGAGAAAGCTATTTAAAAAAAATGTTTTATAAGGCCGTGGTGTTCATAGTCAAGTTCATAATTTCTCTAATATACTCAATTTCACTTATAAGGGCCAAAGAGTTGAATGGATTACCAGTACTTTCCAATGCTAGAAATCATCTCTTTGACAAATTGATCCAACCCATACACCCACACCCACATATATGTGTGTTTGCATGAGCGCGCGTGTGTGTGTGTGGGTGTGTGCGTGCATAGGTAAGTGTGAATAATAAAGAAGCAGATAATCTGATTTTAATTAAGACAACAAAGGTATCCGATTGATTAATATTTCGACTTAGCATCTTATTTCTCATTCTGATCTTGGAGGACTAATTGAAATGTTTTTTCATGTTTTCTTTCAGTTCATTTAATATTCTCACTTATATTATAAGATATATCATAACATCATATTTTTGCTATTCATTACTATCAATGACATATCATCACATGCCATAATATAAAACTGGTACATATGTACATATATAATATGACATAATCTTCATTTCTGAGGAATAATTTTGTGTTTGGAAAAAATCAAATTTATCAAAGCTGAGTTTTATACATAGGTACATGTGCATTATAAATACATATATACAGACATATAAATATAATTATTGGTGTGTTTTATGCGTGTAAATATGTGTATAAATATATTTTTTTCTGACAGTGCTCTATCCATTTTTCAGCTGTAGGTTCCCTCCAGCTTTTCAGCTACGGGTCTCTCTATCTTTTCAGCCTCAATTCTCTCTATTTTTAGCTAGTGTTATCTATATCTTTTCAGCCAGTGTTTCTTTTTATCCCCCCCCCAAAGCAAGGCAGTAAAGCCGCTAAGACACAAGGGCTTAGTAGGTGTGGAAGAATTATGAACAGAAACATTACTAATGAGCGGGAAAAGAAAATAGTAATCAGGATGACAGTAGATAGAGATTGACATTGCATTTAAATTTTTGGAGATTAAAGTTGGCTGGAAAGCATGGATTCGGAAGAGAGTTCCACAAGTGAAAAGTGCGAAAAAATGTTAGCATAGAATTTAAGGGTACATCTAGCTAGCTCAAGTGTAAATTTATGAGATCAAGCAGTAGTTTAGTACTGCTCTTAAATTTAAAAAAAAAAAAGAGCTCATCCGAACAATTACCATGAAAATATTTATAGAAAAGGCACATGGAGGCTTCCGGCGGGAAAGTGACTGAATCAAGATCACCAGATCAAGACCAATAATATTGCTGATTTTTCTTCCGATTTTATCAAGGAGCTCAACGTAAAGAGCAGGGGCAACGGTCCATATGCGATAGCAATATTCTAAGCAGAGACTAATGACAGTTTTATAGATATGTATGATAGATTATGGAGAGAAAAATTATCTCGCACGAGACAGTGAACCAATTTTCTTAGCAGCTAACCTAGCAATGGATTCAATATAGTTTTTCCACTTCATGTCAGCTGAGAACGTTAGCCCGTGAAGGCGCAACGAGTCACTTTCCCGAGAGTGGGGACTATCAGATGTTTAATGGAGAGATGTTTTGTTTTGGAGCTGTAAAAACCATCTTTTGTCCCAGTTAACAACGAACTGAATTTCGTTTTGGATATCAGCTCTGATTTTAACCTTGTCGAACTGATCAGCCTTACTATCGAGACAGCAGTAAATCGTTGTGTCATTAGCATAGATACGAAGTTGATAGCTGATGTCATCGGGAAAGTCATTAATGAAAATTAAAAACAAAGCAGGACCAAGGCTGGAGCCCTGGGGGGGACACCTGCATTTGGACGAAAGGATCTAGACGAGTGGACGTTCAGGATAACTTTCATTTCACAATTTGATAGGAAAGACAGGATCAATTCAAAAATGTGCCCGAAGACACAGTAACTTTTCAGCTTGAGAAGACCTGTATGCCAAATCATGCCAAAGGCTTTCGAGATGGCCAAAGCCAGAGCCCAGGCTTCACTGTTTTTACCTAGAGCATGATAGACTCTTTCCGCAATTATCGTCGCTATATCAGCAGTTGACCTGGAGAAACGATAGCCACATTACTTGTCTGAAAAAAGGCCCTGCGATGAGAGATGATGAACCAATTCGACATTGATTAGGGCATCTAGGAGTTTCCCACCCAAAAGGTAGAAAGCTAATAGGCCGATAGTTGGAATTGTCGGACAGTTCATCGGAGTTCTTAAAAACCGGAACAAGAGCAAGCAGAAAAGCAGGAGACAATTTAGAGAGAACAGGAACCGTTTCAGGAACACACTTCTTAATAACTATTACAGGGATACCATCGGGTCCACATGCTTTGTGGGAATGTAGGTTAGAGATGGTAGCAGAAACCATAGAAAGGGTTATATGCATATAACTCAACAGAAACTCGGTTCTAAGTAGGGAGTTAGGCAGGGATACTCCAGATGAGTCAAGAATAGAGTTTAAGGAGAATTTACAGGCGAAGCATTCAGCTTTAGAAGTAGATGATGTTAACATCGCAAATTGATTGAAGAGGGGAGGAATAGAGACATTACACTTATTTTATACACTATTACAGAGCCACCAGTAATCACGCGAGTGAAAGTGTTCTCGCCATCTTTTCAACCTATATTATGTTTAGTTTTTTTTCTGTCACTATTCTCTAAATCTTTTCAGTCAGCGTTCATCTTTTCAACCTATGATCTCACCATTTTCAGCTGGTGTCCTTTTCAGTTTTTTTCTGTCACTATTCTCTTCATCTTTTCAGACAATGTTTTCTCCTGTATTTCTAGTGTGACATGAAGCTTTGTCTTTGCGAATTCTCAAATTCTTTACGCTGATATCAGCATAAGATTCAGACCAGCAACTTTGATTGTAATACACAAAAAGTTGTCTTCAGATTCGGTAAACTTCTTGGAAAATTTAACCACGGGGTTGCTAGATTTTTCTCCTTCCGTTTCTCGTGCTTACGGGATCTTTCATGTCAGTGAGTCCCGGTTATGTTTTTCATTTTTTATCGTTTCTTCCATTGAACCAGAATGTGTGACAAATAGAATTGGCCAGTTGGCTCGTCTTTATATAGTGGACTACTCTGGCTACGTGATACATGTATACTTTTATATTATGTTAAAATAAATAATCCATTCATCTCCACTTTTAAGTTCTTTTATGACATAGAAATAGAGGTTTCTCTTATGTTTTAATTATTTTTTCATTTTAAATTTAGGAATTGGAGATATTGAATGTCAAGGTTTTTTTTTTACACAAGTTCATATTATATATATTGTGCCAAACGCACTGTTAAATTGCGATTGGCATTGTAAAAACGAACTTTTAAAGTAAGCTATGCTTAAATATATTTATGCATTAAAATTACTTTCATTTCTTATGTTTTATATTTACAGTAAGTATAACAAAAGCAGAGGATCAATAGTTTATGTGTTTTAATTTTACACTTCGTTTAGTTCAATGTCTAAGAATTACTGAACATAAACAAGAGTAAGATAAAGTGTTTCATAATTTATAAATACGACGCAATTGGAAGATTACTTTTTGACGGTATGCGTAAAACAATTTTTATATAATGTATTTACAAAAATGATGGGTAACTGCCAGAATAAATGCTGAGAAGAAAGATTTTCTTCGAAGTGGACATCGCTATTGCAAGATGTGAAAAGAAACAATGAGTCGATCATATCAATAAATCAATATCACTTAGTGCATGATCGCACTAAATTATAGGCGTGATAGCAAGTAAGATCGCCCTCAAGATGAAGGACACTGGAATGTGCACGCATGCGTAGTCACAAAATAAAACTCGGTTAAGTTTCCATCTAAAAAGTCGTACGTATGAACATTTAATAAATAAAGACGTATCGACAAGTTCATAAAATTAACTTAATTCTTCATGTAAGTGCATTGAGCTGAATTCAAACAAACCGAAACAAAAGAAAAAGCCTATACACACAAAAGATTATGGGCATAAAGCTGAGCAATGGTTACAATTTATCTTGTGGGCCATTGATTGTAAGTTCAATTTTCACAGGTTACTTTATTAGTTGCGCTTCTGTAAGAATAAGTTAAATTTGTTAATCGTGTGCTGACAGCTGCGGTTGAGCGATGGTTAACCAGATGGTTGCATATTACTACTCAAGTGGGTTTGATTCTTAATGAGTTCCCAGCTATGGTGACTTTATAACAGACTAAACTAAGCTTTGTAAATATCTACAGATATAAACATTATATATATATATATATATATGTATGTATGTATGTATATATATATATATATATATATATATATATATATATATATATATATATATATATATATATATATATATATATATATATATGTGTGTATATATATATATGTGTATTTATATATATATATATATGCATTTATATATATATATATATATATATACTCACAATATATTTACAAATACATACACATAGATGAAGGTGGAAACAATTCTTGCCACACAAAAATCGCAATTATTATACGCGCAAACCGATAGAAATTTACTTCCATATAGGCTCATAAAAAGACACGTTCAAGAATAGAGTACTCTGAAAGAGACGGACCTTCCCACAATCTTTGTCTTACTCCTAAACACCAATGGAGTGTGTCCATTTGTTTAAGATCTTCGTCTTCTCGATCGTCTCTCAGGTGAAATTCCGTCTTAATATCTCAGTCTGATACGTGCTAATGTCTCGTATTTGCTAACTAAAAGCGTTTCCTTGGCCCTGAGAACGCACCGTTTCACTTGCTCTCCCTCGACACTCACTCGCTGATGGCCTTCTTTACTTTGTCTCACTCCATTGGCAAGCCTTCGTTTTCCTCGTCTTTTCATTCCTTCTTCTTAATCTAGTTCCCCCTCCATTCATCAGTGCCCATAACGACAGCATTTAGATGCAAATGGCTGTTCGTTCGTCGAATTTGGAACGAAGCGATGTCAGTAATGTCGACGTCTCTTGGTAATGGGTGTAATGGAGATGTTGTTCATGGGGCAGGAGTGAATTTTGAGGAAGCCGGGCGGCGCTGAAGATGTGTGGTGAGTGAGAAATGAGACAATGATGGGGGAGAATGGAGAATAAGAGAAAGAGAGAGAGAGAGAGAGAGAGAGAGAGAGAGAGAAAGAGAGGAGGCTCTATGCTCGTGTGTGTGTGTGTGTTTGTGTGAGTGTGTGCGTATGTGTGTGAGTGTGTGTGTGTGTGTGTGTGTGCGCGCGTGTGTGTGTGCGAGGTGTAAATGATGACGATAAAGAAGAGCGAAAAGAAAATAGATTGCAAGATGAAATAAGAATGCGAGAATGGGAAGAAAAAGGACAGTACGCACGCACACACATAAACACACGCGCACACACATAAACACACGCGCACACACACACACGCGCGCGCGCAGACACACACACACAAATATATATATATATATATATATATATATATATATACACACAGTCAGTGAGAAAAATGTAGAGGGGAAGTATTAAGAGACAAGAAGAAGGAAAATGAGGTTGAAAAAGTGAAATTCTTGAGAATGCAAAAGCATAATAAAATTAAAATTTAAACAAGAGTAAAAGTATAAAAATTATGAATGAATAAAAGAGAATAAGAGAATAAAAGGATTATTGATATTTTGAGGAATGAAACAGAGAGAATAAGAGAATAAAACAATAGAAAGCGAGACCATAAACGAATAACAGAGAAGAATAGATAGTAAAAGAAGACAGAAAAGATTAAAACGGGAAGAGAATGAGGAAAATATTTTCAAAGAAGAAACAACTGAAATAACATTCATGTCCATGTCAACAAAGTCGGATCTATTGAAATGAAGATAGTATAAGGAGAACGAAAATGGGACAAGAAAGAAAGAAAGAAAGAAAGAAAGAAAGAAAGAAAGAAAGAAAGAAAGAAAGTGATAGAAATAAAAGTGGGGACCTGAAAAGAAAAAAGAAAAAATGAAAAAAAGAAAACGAAAGGAAAGTAAGAAAAGTATAAATAACCACAATAAATTAATCCCTAAAAGTAAAAAATAGGAAAACAGAAAAGAAAAAAATGAAATCAGGTAAAAATGTTATAGAAATTAATAAACAAATAAATAAAGAAAGAAAGTAAAGAGAAAATGAAGAAGGACGAGGAGGAAAGAAAGACTAAAAAAAATGAAAGATGCAAAAAAAAAAAAAAGGAGAGAGAAAGAGATGGGAGGGAGAGAGAGAGAAATAAAAGCAGAAAGGAAATCAGGAAAAGAAAGAATGAAAGTATCAAAAAAGAAAGAAAGGAAAAGAGCAATGAAGAAGGAAAGAAAATAATGAAAGAAGTAAGTAAAGAAATAAAGAAAGAATAAAAAGGAATGTGACAAAGTAGAGAATAAACTTGTATCGGGTGAAAGAAAGAGGGTTGGAGGGGGAGATATATATCCGGAGATTGAATGTATAAAAGAATGAGGTTGAATGAATCGTGGCAACAGCAATTTCCTCGTGGATAAATGCGGAAATTAGCGATGAATTGACGTAATTCTCGGCGCACGCGCAGCAAAACACTTCACTTACCGTGACAAACGGCGAACGCCCGATCGGAATACCATCAGCGAATGGCGGGCTTCCTTCCCTGACAACCCACCGGCTGCACTAGCTCTCCTCGACCCGCCCAATGTACACCAAATACACTATCATGACCATTAATGTCCATCTAACCCTTTATCAAACACAAAACCTTCTATACACATTCGCACATATACAAACAGCAGTCGAGGGCTTCGAAGACAGCAAATATAATAGCTACTACAATAACATGAAACGAAACTCTATAAGCAAAGCCATTCTTGAGATAAATCTGGAGGAGAAAGAGAAAACTACTTGAGAACTATGGAAGCTTTTAAGTAACATAAAATGCTATCAGACATTATTTTCTTTTTTTATTAAATCTACTAGGTTTTTGGCAAACATGAAGAACACACTTGATAAAAATGTAAGTGGAAAATACAAATATAAGAAAAATAAATATTGCTTTTATATTTGCCTCTTCCTATCAGAAGTGTGTGGTATCTGATGCTGACGAGATCAAATCTCCACTCGTTGGTAATCTCCTAAATATTCTTGCCGAGATATTGTTGTTGTCTAGACATTCTTAATTCATATAACAATATCAGCTTCTCTTTTAGTATCTCTTTCGGATCATTTCCGGATAACTTGACGAAATATATCGTCAATGGTCCATTGGTTGGTATTCAACCGGGGTGATTTGTGCGGAAACTAAATTCTGTACTAAATTATACAAATTTAAATTTGGTAGGATTTCAACCGGATCACTCTATTTCAACAAGGCGACCAAGTCATCATAAAAAGATAGATGCCAGATAGTGAATAGAATTGTTCCAGTAGACCACAGATTAAAATTGAAAGATAGGAAAAATTTGGGGAAAATATCTTGATTTTTCTCGAAAACTAATAAAGGTGACGGTCGTGTTTATCATTATTAGCGCATATGGAATAGTCTCGTGAAACTTTACAAAATAAATAAATAATTAAAATCCATCCAATGTCCCAATGTCATTTCTAAAATCATCAAGAATACAGAGAAAAATGCTGAAGTATTGAGGTGTCACTTGATCTCTGGCGAGATACCACAGATAGTATGAAAAGTAAACGAGTAAAAATAATAAAATTCAGCATGTTCTTTGAATATAAAATTACAGTAATACTTTGTTTTTTTAGATAATAGAACTCATTACCTAATTTAAAGATATAAAGTTTTTTTGCTATTACCAATAAAGGAAATGCTGCTAAATAATGGATGTGGCTGATTTAGCAGAAGTACAGACGGGAAATGAAGGAAAGTGCTAAAAGAAAAGATATATTCTTAAAAACTATGGTACTCGTAACCACTGACAAACAGAATAAAATCATTCTTCCGAATAACTACTTATCACAAAAAGATTTGGCAAAGATGTTCCTGCTGAATTTGGTGTCTTGTATTAGTTTATCTGTGGAGAACTCGAGAATGAATTTATCTGTGGAGAACTCGAGAGCCGGTACTACATGGACTGCTGTATGGTCTCATAACAGTGCAACTAGATTTCATCAGCAATGAGAAGTCTTTGAAGAAAACCATCACTAGACCGTTGAAAATGCTGCAAAATCATTTTAGAGGTGTCTACTTGATGTCGTTTCTGATTGGCATTCAGACATTTTGGCACCCACTTAGCTGAAATGCTCATGAATTATAACCCAACGCGTTTCCTGGACATGTGTAGGGTCTCAGACATTATTTTAGCAGAAATACTTCGATCGGCCAAAATTAGATCATGTACATGATCAACAATTTCAGATGTCTCCCGGAACGTGATGCATCTTGAGTGCCCATATATATATATATATATATATATATATATATATATATATATATATATATATATATATGTATGGTGGACTCTCCCGTCGTATTCGACGTTTGAGGGTCAGCAAATCAGTTCCTAGGAACCGACAGCTAGACATCAGCGCTTACGATTTGGCAACCAGGTACCAGCACATATGATTTGATTATACGTTTTGAAGGGCTGAATACACATACCAGACCAGTTGTTGCTGGGAGAAGATGATTCATAATTAGTACGTAAGTGAATGTAATGGATTCGATTTGAATTCGAACTCCGTGTCCTCAGTCAGAGTAGCTTACCCACTATATGTATACGAAGTCCTAGATTAGCGACAAGCTCTCATAATTTTATGGTTATATGAAAATAAATTCTATGCTAACAGTTTCTTCTCTCGTAATTCTTGCTTTTTGCTTCCCAGTTAACTTTTATCTTCAAACATTTAAATGCAATGTCAATCGTTATCTTCTGTCTTCTTAATTTGAGTTTTATTATTCTCTCTCCTTAATAGTGTTTTTTCTCATATTCTCTCATACCCAGTCACCCCTTGTATCTTAGTGACTTTATTGCCTTGTTTGGGGTGAAATGATTAAATATATATACAGGTTGCGATAGGTAAATTGTAGCCATTTTATATTTTTAATTCCGCGTATGCGCCTTGTTTGTTTTTGATTTTGTCGACTGCACAGTATTGTAGGGTCAGGTGGGGGTATGCGTCTGCGAGAAAAAGAGCGCCATGACGCGATTCACTCCGCCAGAAATTTGGAAACGGCATGCTGTACTGCTTGTCACTCGCCCCGGAAGCTCCAATACGAACATTTCAGAGTGATTGGGTGTCAATCTGATGGCAGTGCAGAGGATTCGGAAAAAGTTGGATGAGTCCAATGGTGATTATGAAAATGTTTGGATTGATCACTAATGATGGCGACGTTATGCCTCCATTCATCTCCCCACGAGCCTTCAGACTCAACACGGAGGCCTACATCAAGTGCCTTGAGGAGGTAGTGCTGTCAAGAAGGTGGTTACTGGAAAACCGTCTGTCAGGCAACATCACTATGTACCATGCCACACATGCAGGAGAACACAATCATGGCTGTCAGACCACATCACTTATATCTAGCCACCTAACTCCTCAGATTGCAACAAACTTGATTATTATGTGTGGGCGCAGTTGAGTGAGAGTCCAACGAAACTCCCTGTGACAACAAAGATGAACTGAAAGCAAGAATTATGGCAGCAGTCACCAACTTAAACAAGGAAACTGTCCTGAAGAGCTGCAGAAGATTCCAAAGCCGTCTGGAGGCCGTGGTTGAAGCGAATGGCGATTTTATTTGGTATTTCAAGATATTTTGCGTAATTTTGGTAAATATATCTGTTAAAATGAGATGTCAGAATTATTTTTATTTTTGTGCAATTTAAACAACAATTTATCCATTGCACCTATATATATATATATATATATATATATATATATATATATATATATATGTATGTGTG